GAAGAATGTAAACAGAGAGTGGGCCTCCTAGAGAATAATTAATGTGACATTTCCCTGACATTTAGTCGGAGGTATACAAGAGGAAGCGGAGATAGGAACGGAGAAGAGGAAGAGGGAACAAAGCTTTCCTCTTCTTGAAAAGATTTCCTCTCAGGTGTGCTGCACTTCTTGCTTGGTCAAGATATTCAACAACGGTGTGCCTGTTTGTTGCTCGGCAACATTTTGTTTCGTGCTTGTATCCGCCGCCAATTCCCCATGCGTTTATGGCCTGTTACCATCGCTGGCCCTTGCTGATGAGCCATCGTTGGGACTTGTGGTGGTTGATGCCAGACAAGCCCACATGCATCTGGATTTAATATAGAAATCCCAATTAGAGGATTTATTTTTAGTCATTTGCCATAGGCACCCAATAGGACACGTTACTAGGTCAGTGTGTACAATCTAATGAGATCCAGAAAAAGATAAATCAAAAACTGTCTATATGAATCCAACCATGCCACGAATAATGAAAACACATGAGTAAATGATGCCCTAAAAGGTATAGAATTGCTTATAATGCCACAAGACGGTGGCAAGGCACTACTTTTGTCCTCATGAAACTCCTCAACTCACTTCAACATAGCTGCTTAGCATCAAAATGCCTGAATTTTTTTTTTTTTTTCAGGCAGTAAAATGGTTAAAAAACTTCTGAGGAAGGTTGGAAAGGTTGGAAAAAAGTAGCCTCAGAACCTTAACGAGTGATCATACATTAGATTGACCTGTTTATCATAACAGGATTTTATATATATATATGTGTGTGTGTGCTGTCTTCATGCACATATATACATACATACACACACAGATTACAATCGGATGGCCTATTTGCACCATCTTCTATTGTTGATATGCTTTGATGATTTTGATGACTTTATTGCGCCACAGTCTGATGCAGCTCATTTTTACACACGTTAGTAAACCATTCCCACTCAATCCATCCAATCCGAGCGTCATTATCTTTGAAAAACACCCAATTCCCCGTGTTTAATTGTGCAAGCGTTCACGTTGTTGTCGTAGATGGAGTGTTAGCTAATTGGAAATTGATTCGGGATCGCAGTTCTTTACCTCAACCGATGCGAGTCTTAATGCGTCTACTTATCACCGGGTGGCTTATTGATCGGAGCGGTGGATTCAGTGAGAACAATGTGCACGGGGGGTACACGGGACATTGTCCTCCGTCACTATCGGGAGGTCTTAATGGAGCGAGCCATGGCAGAGCTCCGACTCCCAGGCGCTCGTCTCCTTTTTGAAAAGGACTCTGGCTTTCTTGGCTCTAACACAATAAACATGGATTTTTACATCGCTTTCCTTCACATGAAGAAGAAGAAGAAGAAGGCTATTTTCTGATGGATTCAAAGCGTTCGTAATGGCGCATTTTTTCAAAGTGTTGACAATTTCTGGAGCCTGTCGCCGTGTCTTCTCCAAGACGTTAAAAGCAAAGCAAACCGGCATTTTTTTTCTCAACTACGTATTGTATGTTTTGTTGCTATCATTAGATAATTTTGGGCGCTGAAAAACATTTCTTTTTGTTCGTGGCTTCACAACAATATTGCCAAAATGGGTATTGTACGTAATTGACAGTAATAATGTAATATTAGCCGTTTTAGATCATTTAACAATAATAATGAAGCCTTGTTTGGATTTCAGTACATTTTCAGAGTCTCGATTTGAGTTTTTCTCCGATTCTCTGAATATATCTAAGTGTCGGTACATCATGTGAGTATACCTTTGCCACCTCTGCTGCAGAAAAGGGGCTGACTCACACAGTCTCTGTTCTAGTTCATCCCAAAGGTGTTTGTTTGGCTTTCATCCCCACCAAGCTCACGCAAGCATTCCCCTTCTTTGTGCACTTGGACAGAAAGGTTCTTTCTTCAAACTGCTTCCACAAAGCCAAGCATATAAAATGTTCTTGTTCAGATGACAGAATCAACATTGAAGTTCTGAACAATCCCCTAATTCAATCACTGATTGGTTAAGAGGTGTGTCTCAATATGCGGAAGGATGCACACTTGGTAAACACATCTGCCTCACCCCGGGTTCAAATCTTGGCTGCGCGTACTCTGACTTCTTCCCACAATCCAAAAATATGAATGGTGTGTTCAATGAAGACTTTTAAAGGTCTCGTATGCGTGAATCAGCTGATTAATAGAGGGCGCCAGGGAGCTGCCCCGCCGCTCAGCTGAGTCATCCTGAATAAGACAAAAAAATTAATGTATATGAAATGTTATATTCAGAATATTTGCATCGATATTTTTTGGGGGATGATCAGGATAAATAGTATGCAGTTTATGATGAGTAAAATTAGCTTCTGGTTTTGGTCGCCATTGACTTATAAAAAGTTTGACATGCGCAGTAGATCCTCTTGCGATGTAGAAAACAGCACCAAGGTCAGTGCTTCGAGTTTTGTTTTGTTTTTTTTCCGTCAATGGATGCTACAGCTTCTTGTCTACTTTCAAACTTAGCTTGTAGCAGACGTGCGCACGTTTTGAGCATGACGTCTCCGATCCACTGGTGAACGGACACTTTGATTCTCTCCTCTTTCACTACTTCAAAACAACAAGGCGTGTGCTGGAATATGGATATGGCTGTCCATGTCTTATGTGTTGTGTTATATTACTGTATTTTGTTATTTTACGTTAACTATGGGCGGCCCGGTGGTCGACTGGTTAGCGCATCGGCCTCACAGTGTGGAGGCGCAGGGTTCGATTCCAGCTCCGGCCTTCCTGTGTGGAGTTTGCATGTTCTCCCCATGCCTGCGTGGGTTTTCTCAGGGTACTCCGGTTACCTCCCACATTCCAAAAACACGCATGGCAGGTTAATGGAACTGACTTAAAGGCCACTTGTGGTATTCCTGACTCTTACGTTTGATTACTGCTCAGATTTCAGAAAGGGCTTGTCTAACATTTCGCACATGCCGCCAAATAAGTGCAGTCGAGTGACACTCTTGACGTCTTGTAATGCATGGAGGCATTGACCAAAATGTAGCCTCTCCTTGGTTACTCGCGCAGCTCCAGCAAATGGCCTGGATTCACTCTAATAGCAGTCAGTATTGAAGCAAAAACACTCATCAAACAGCGTTCTTTTATGAACTATTTCTGACACCTCCACCATCTATTTTGATTCACAAGATAAAAATACTCTGATTTGATTGACTCCATTAGAAAAGAATCAACTCAATATGTTTATTATTGTCATCGTAGTGTACAGAATGAGAGCAGTTGTTCGAAGTTCAAGTATTTTCATAAGCTAACCAAAATATTAGAAACCTCTCAACATGGCATGTACTCCTACACTAATGCACCCTAAACAACAATAATAAACACAGTGACAAATAGTCATAATATTCACCAATCGGTACACTTTTACTCAACGAACTCATTTGGATATGATACAGGAAAAAAAAAAATGCTTCTGCTCTTTCTAGAGCGGAAGCCACCAACATGGTGCCCCCAAGGACCACATGAGTAGCCTGCGGGTCTGTTCTAAATATAGCTCGCCGTCGATGGGGCATTGAGGTTTCCTAGCAATGTTGTGGAAGTGCTGATTTGAAAATGTAAACAACTCCTGAGATTTTAAACATGATCGGTGGCTTCACAGAAATGAATATCAATTCATAATAGCGACTTCTAATGAATGCTAACTTTGTTATTTCAGAAATGTGGATCAAACTGGTCGCCCTTCATTATTGATCAGTGCCTGAAAATAATGTCTCACTTTCAAAATGATTGTTGATCATTGTTCTTGACTGCATCACAGTAATCCAACACTACTGCTGCATTTCAAATTCAATGTTAGCATGTTAAAATTTAAAAAAAAATAAAATAAAAATTCATGCATGTATATTATTTAACTCCCATCCTTTTCCCATCCAGGATCGATCTCCACTTACTGAGGCTTTGTTGCCATGGTTACAGTCCTAACATGAAGCAAGAATCGAAGAGTGGCCCGTTGTTCGGCACGCTCTTGTGTTTTGACACAAACGCAACAACTGCAGTTTAGAAGAAGAACGACCTTATTCAAATGGGAAATACACCATCTCGCACTATAATCATTCCAAACTCGAGGACCTACTTCCTCTCTTAAATTTACATCCATATTCTCACGAAGATGAATTTGCATTTGTCGTCCCAATTTGAGCCCCCCCCCACCCCCACCCCTTATGAAACAAAGGACGGCGACACCACAAGCCTGTTCATGTCATCTCGAGCCATCTTGTCACTTGCAAATAGTCACGACGACTCGGAACGCTTATGCCGCCTTAGTCATAAAATTGTGACGAAGAGTGACAGAAGACACGATTCATAACAATCACACAGAAGCTCGTAAAATGATGTGATCGCAAAGTTTTGCCAAAGAAAGCGATAGTATCACAATACTGTAGAGCGAGATTATCTACCCACTCATGTATTAATGTAAACAAGTCCGTTTTAAATCGCTTCCTAAAATGTACTTGGAGTGAACATCTTATGGAAAATAGACATTTTAATTGTTCATATACACATAGTTGAGTCTATCAAATGTGAAATTGATCAAATCCCAACGCGCATGCTCACACACACACAGACACACACACACACACACACACACACACACCACGTTACGCTTTCGAAGAAATGGTCACTTAGTCTGGGCGAAGATCCAAACCCTATTAAGCGACGCCTGACTCCACTTTCTAAAACACCCTCACGCAGAGGCACTATCATTCGCAATCCAGAATCACAATTTCCACATCGGCGTAATGCCCCTGCCATCACATCAAAGCCAAAAGGTAAGCAGAGCTGCATTGAGTTTTATTTGGGATGCACAGATTAGCGTTAACCTAAAGCATATCTGAGAAGCGGCACATACTAGGTTGCCCGGTTAATGTGATGGAAGTGCGTTTTTGTGTTTTTTTTGTCACGGGTCTATGTGCCACATACACACAGTGTAGCGTAAATCTCTTAAACCTCATCTCTGATAATTACCTTTGCAGCAACCGACGAGCTGGGCTTCTCCAGCAGGTCCCACAGTTTCTTTCGTTTCTCCGCACAGCACGTGTTGTCAAATTCTTCCCCTTCCCTGTCCTTTAAATTATCCGCCTCCCGTTTCAGCTCCTCGTTCATCTGCTCCTTCTTCTGGTGGTACCTGGCTTGGCAGCAAGACTCTAGGTAGATCTCGTCGATGCCCCAGTAGTCCAGTTCCTGACTGAAGGACAGAGCGCACATCTCCTCCATCATGTGTAGCTTTCCCGTGCGGTAGAAGTTGAGGATGGACGTGAAGGCGCCCGGGTGGCGATCGAAAAAATACTCGTTCTCATCCAGGTTGTAGTCGTCGCACACCTCCATCAGAGACTCGTGGCTGCTGCAGTCTTGCAGCTTGCCCAGACGCGTCCGCGGGAGCCTGTCCAGCGTTCGCCACAAGACTTCGTGCGGGAGGCCGCCCACATTGAGGCGGACCCTCCGGAAGCATGACTTGCTACTGACGACGTCCACCGGCTCGGGCGGGAGCGACGATGTTGACTGGGAGCCGGCCTTGTTGAACTCCGCCAAGGACTTCTCCATGATAACCTCACAAACGAGAAGCGGGTGAGCACCCACAACTATGGCGTCCACTTTGCCATGTTTGTTGTCATTATTGTCTCTAAAAAAAAATAAAAATAGCAATAAAAAACGGCAATTAGTATGCAAAATTACGTCACTAAACTCAGGGGCGAAACTGTCTTAGATTGTTTACATGTTTTAGCACAACACCTCACAATATTAGATCGCCATCGGAACAGTTTTATTTATTTAAAAAAAAACCTTAATAGGTCCAGCAGAGCCATAATGAAGATATTACAGTTAAAACATTTTCATGCAGAGGCACCATCATGCAAAAATTTTCTCCTCCCGCTGCTTATCATCAAAACCAAAGGGTAAGCAGAGCTGCATAGTTTTATCAGGACCACTGAACACCAACACCACATCTACCAACCCGCCACAACAGGAAAACTGTCGCCCTGTATCTAGTTTTGAAGATACGGATCCAATACAGGGTACTGTTTTTGTAAATGAACTATAATTGAACCGCAAAGACATGGCGAGATTGTCAAAGAATAAATAGATTGCCACAAAAAGAGGACAATAAAAGCTTGAGTGTGGATATTTTAAGAAGTTGTTGGCAAATCGATCACCCCCATTCACTGTGACCTTCAGCAACAGTCTCTCCGCGCTTTGCTTTCTCGCCACAGGTACATATGAAATTATAAATATTATTGTAAAACATTTGTACATACTGCATAATACCGAATGGGTACAGCATGATGGCTTGGTGTCACTTACGCTTAGTATCGGAAAATGTCATTTATTAATGAAAGCTCACACGTATTTTTGATTGGCTTTTACAACTGTGGCATTGCGACGTCTTTGACGGCAATTCATATTTTAAATTGCAGCAAAGTTAATGGCCGATGGTCAGCCACTCACGAAAACTAGTTGCAAAACCCCGCACACTGTGACAGTTCTTTCGGATTAGTGTTCATTTGTAAAAACATGGACGTAATGTTGTGCACACGACGTGCTAAGTGTAGCAAGGGTTGTTAGTGGAAATTGCAGTCTTTGTCACGTGGATGTTTTTGCTCTACTGAGTGACAATTAAAAAGCTCACGCGAACAACAACAGAGGTCTCATATTATATGGCTTGGTAAGTGCTACTTTTATGGGCTGCAAAGGCAACGTATGATGAGTTTGAAATTATGTTTTCGCGTTTATAGTTCATAATGTGTTGTATATTTATGCTTTTGGCTGTTAATATGGACAACTGTGACAGTTTTTTTTTTATATTCCCGGCAGGGCTCAGTCCACACAGTTTGGAAGGCATATCCAAAATTACAAGATAATCTCATTATGATACGATGACGTTCTACGACACTGCAAATCATAACCGGGATGAAATTATTGTTAAATTTGTGTCAATCTGAATGTTATTGTCTTTGTAAGGGCAGAATTACTGACACATCTCTTATAATGGATGTCGTTGTATTTCGCAGGTGCACACACAGAATGTCACCTTGGTTAAATAAAACTTCCTGGCCAATCGTACATCAATTTGACGCCCCATCAAATCAGAACCCCAGGGAGAAATAATCGAATCTGCGGCAATAAATCTGCTAAATGTGTTTCATGCACGGCAGCCCTGGAGGGAAAACAGCTTCATCTTTCCTCATGTTTCCTCTTTAATTGTTTGTGAGCCACTGGATCTTTGTCACGCGGCGTGGGTGGAGACGCGCGGCGGAGCTGTCCAGTGCTGAAACTCGCCCGTCCGTTCCCGTTTACAAATGCACAAACAGCCTCGATGTTGTCGTTTGTTTGTTTCCCTCGAGGGTTGACTCTTCTGAGGCCGGGCGTGCTTCGCATTTTAATGCCTGTTTTTGAGGTTGTTTTTAACGTTGTTTTTTTTTTTTTTTTTGGTGCTTCCTGTCTGGAAATGCGTTCGCCCGTCACTGTCACAAAAAAAAAAAAACTTTCACACACTTGAGCCTCATTCTCACACGTATGCCACTGTGAGGATCCAACAAACGCACACACACTACGAGGACGACAATGATCCCCCCCCCCCTCACTCCCACCCTCTCGTAAAGCAGCCTCCTCTCGCTTATTGGCTCACATATGACTCAAGAGAAGCCAAAACAGCTTACAATTACAATTTCCACCCATGGCGATGTTTCAGGATGTCAAATAATGTTGTGGATCCAAATCGCCTCCAATGCGTTAGTGCTCCATTTGGCGCATAGCCGAGCCCAACCATACATATCATGCAGCGCGATCAAATGATGATATAAGCTTTGGTAATGATACACATACATCGTGGCAGTACCGTGGTGAGTTGTTGTTGTTGTTGTTGTTGTTGTTGTTGTTGGCTTCCAGCAGAGACGGAGATGTAGCAGAAAAAGAAAAGGAGCCGCCGTCACTGGTCTACTCGAGCCGAGCTGTGATGCCATCCATTCCCACCCTCCTCAGCCTCCCGACATGTCATCCGCGTCTAGTGAGCTCCAGACGCCTCACTCCGCCGCATTCCTCGCCCCGCAGCACCTTTCAACCCGGCCCCGAGATCAACAAGTACCGAGGGGGTGCTCATTCGGAATCGGACCAGTGCTCCCAGTCCGCCGCAACAGCTGCAAGAGGAGGAGGAGAAGGAAGGGGAGGAGGAGTTGGAGGAGGTCTTCTCGAGGCAGGCGGTGCGCCGGTCTTTTTTCACAGCACATTGGAGTTAACTCTTTCTCAGCCTCGCCCTGACATCTGAACGCACCACAGTGTGTCAAAGAGCCGTGTGTGTGTGTGCGTGTGTGTGTGTGTGTGTGCGTGCGTGCATGCGTGCGTGCGTGCGTGCGTGTGTGTGTGTGTGGCAGGGGGGGGGGGCCGTTGGGGGAATGCGATTTTTTTGGAAGATGCTCAATTTATGAATTATTTGTTATAAAGTGTGGCTGGCTCCTTTTAATTCCAAGCAAAATAAGATAATTATATTAAAAAATACTACATAGATCTATTCCAACTAACACACACACACACACACACACACACACACACACACACATATATATATATATATATATATAAAGTATATTTGTAATTTAATGGTATCAATAACAAGTAGCAATTTTGTCTCGAGGTGTGGCTCATTTCTCTGTTGACTGCCCCATTAGTGCTGTGTGCATTTTAGAAAGAACTTGAGAATTATATATTGTGTGAAACAAAACACGCAATTAACTTTGATCGGGGAAACCCTTATTCACTTTTTTTCAAATCAAAAGATTTTTAAAAAAATGTGCAATATTGTTCGTTTTTATATTTCGTTGGCAAAATTTCACATCCATAGCTGGAATGGCCATCTGGCATAGAGGCCAGATGCAACGTTAATATATATTATTTCCCCTCCATTTTACCCCAAGAGACCAGCCCAAAATTGAAAGAGAGCAGTCCATTACTCAAGTTACCCTGTAGACAGCAAACTGAACCGATGAAGTTTGTGGCAGAGCTCTGTGGTAGCCAGGAATCATGTCTGAATGCAAATTTTGCCAGAAACTGTCTTCAGAATAGAACGTTTCATTCTTGCAGTGGCAAGTATATCCATTATTTTCACACCATCGCTGAAAAACAACATGGCTGAGAAGTCAAGGTGTATCATACCATCTACAGTCACTTTTTTCTTTTGATAAAATGCATAGTTTTCCAGAACCTTGCTCAACACATTCATAATACAAGCAGAAACAAACCTAAGTCAAATGTAGTGTGTTGGGTTTTTTTCAGGAATGCTATACAGCATAATTCACTTTTTTTAATGTATTTTGGGGTCAGTTATGAAATACGTCAAACATGAAATGAAACCATGTGACAACAACACAAAAAACTACATCTGTATTTACAGGAATAATTGTGGAATAAATAAATATACACATATAAATAAAATATCCATTGACTGAATTAACTTGAAGTCGTTCTCTTTAGTCTGTAGCGCACTTGAAGATCTCCCTCCGGCTGGAGCATCCCGAAACCGTAGCGGCTCTGATCGACGGGCGGCACTCGAGCCTGTGGGTCACACACTTCCAGGTCCAGACGGGTCAGCATCAAGAGCACAAATCTGGATGCAAACGAGGGTAAAAGTCAAACACACACGCTTTGGTCTTCAATCTGCTTTGTGAAACTAAATCATGTGACTGGAACTTAACGCCTGGAAACATACAAGCTCCTGCTATCTTCACCCTTTGAAGCCTCATGCCCCCCCCCTCCCACACACACACACACACACACCCTCGCACCCCCCAGCCCCAATTCCCATAATTACAAAATCGAAGGAATTACTACAGTACAGTCTATCAACTGCCTTGAAGTGATTCTCAGCAAACGATAGTGACTACACATCATCTCCCGGCTTAATGCGCTGCACGTACATGACAGAAGAGATCCGCATCTTAAAGCACTCACTTTTTAATGGTTGTCACGGCAAAGTCTTTCCCCACGCACATATTGCTCCCCGCGCCCCAGGGCATGGTGAAGTACTTCAGCCTTCTGCCATCCTTGTAGAAATCATCCTTGGCTGTCAGGTCTTCATTTAGGAAGCGGTCATACTTGAAAAGCTGTCACAAAGGAAAGATGGTTATTATTATTATTCATTTTTATATTATATTAGTATGCGTAGTCATAGTAGTAGTAACGATATTTACTTAAAATTTTATGTCACTTTAACTGAATTTATGATTTTATTGACATACCATTAAATTGATTAAACAAATGTTTACTTTTTTTCTTTTAAACAGAGATGCAAGTAAACTTTTCGAGATATTTTTTTTGTGCTGATTCCAAATATGGCCTCCTTTTTTCTTGAGTTAGTACATCAGGTTTCAATATGTTTTTCTCAAATGCCATAGCTATAAATCACAATGGATGGTTAAGTCTGCATCGTGCGTGAGGGTTAGAAATAATCAAATAAGAATATCACAAAAATCTGATGCGCTCGGAAAAAAAGTGAAGAAATGTTTCGAAAATACGTGTAGGGCCACATGAAGCGATCTCTGAATACCATTTGCTATTGAGCTGTTTTATCTTCCCAAATTTGGTTATATATTACATACACATATATCGTACACATACTGCACATTTTATACCGTTTATATAGAGATTGGCTGGAATAAAAAAAAAAAGTTTTTTGGTGCCACATGTTGAGCTGCATGGGGTATTTACACCCACTTGAGTGAGCAAAAATAGTTTCTTGCCTTCTAAATGTGTTGACGCATGACATGAATATTCTTAAAACCTGCACTGTCCTCTTAGCACACAGTACCTGCGGTTCTTGGTGAATCTGCGGGTCCATTTGTGGGCTCAGAAAGGGAAACAGACACACTTTGTCCCCACGTCTGAGGCGGTACTCTTCCCCGTTGGCCATGCGCAGGACCTTGTCTTGCACCACGTCTCTGCTGATCATTGCGGCGGCGGTGAGTCGTAGGGTCTCTTTCAGAACGCTGTCTGTAGGATGGATGGAGACTCAGCCGACTTGAATAATGTGTACTCCAACAAAAAATGTCTGTATTCCTGAATTATCTATTGTGACGTTCACAAAAGTGAAGGTGGATGAGTGCCGCCACATACCTAACACGGGTGTAACGTGTGCTTTCTTCACTCGAGCCGTGCTGGGGGTGTGCTGGGGGGAGCTGTCCTCCAGAGAAAGACCTCTCATCTCTGACTGGACCGCCTTCATGGCCTCAGGGTGAGTGAGCAGGAAGCCAAGGAGCCAAAAGGCTGCTGGCCCAGCATTACACTGAAAAGAAAAAATATATATATTCGGTATTGACATTTCATTTGGGAATTGTACAAGGGGGTTTAAGGTGATCTTATTCCCAAGCATGCTGTTTTTATCTACTGTACCAGGGATGGGCAACATATGCATTTTAAAAGCTGATAAACATTAAGTGTACATTTTCCATGCAAAAAAAAAAAAAAACAAACAAAAAAACTAGTTAAAATGGGGGTTGGGATCCTGGAAAACCAGGAAAAAATACCAAATGTTAAAACTTATTGTGCACTTAATTTAACTCATTCACTCCCAAAGACGTTTTCAAACATCTTTTCAGACTTGGTCCAGAATTGGCTGGTACTGAATGAGTTTTGTGCATTTCTTGCTCAGCAGTTTTGTGCCGTCCTTGAATGGTAATTTTTATGCAAGAGGGCCCTGTGCACTGGAAATTTTTTTTTACAGTATGTGGTTGTTTTGTTGTTTGTCATACATCTGGTTAGGAAGTGCCTGGTCCTTTGTGCCCCCCAGTAGCATTGATGAAAAATTGTGGGCCCCTCCAATATTTAAGTCGCCCATCCCTGGATTCCACTGACTGGACACTTCATTAGGTACAGCTCACCGAAATGGACAATCAAAATAGAGAATAATTATCCGTGTAAAGGATCCGGCAGACAGCTCTTACACGTGTACCTAATGAAGTGAGCAGTAGCAATGAGATTGGATTTTATAGCACTGTCAGCCTCTGGCTGAGAGACACCTGAGTATGTCAGACAGTAATAGCTCAGGGTTAAGGGAGCCTTTTTTTTTTTGGAGCACTGACAGTCAGGCCAATTGGGCACAAGCCGCAACACTTTGTCCTCCCTGCCCTTTTCTATCCTCAGGTAATGACCCTCTTATCATGCCAGCAGAGACACACGATGGACTCTGGTGAAATGATGTGCGGCAGTGGGTGACCCGTTGGACTTTTTACGATACGATGCTCGTTTTTTTTCATGAAAGATCATTAGGTCTTTTTTTTTTTCTTTTTTGATGAGGAGCTGTATGCCATTGCTGGCCTGGAGCTATTACGGCAATCACTTCTCCATAAAGGACATAACCTTCACATCTGTTCTCCTGAGCGCTGTTTTAAAAAAAAAATACTGAGGTAGGCTATTCTTTTTAATTGCTTGGTGTGCTTTTTTGTAAAGACATTTTGTGATAATCTGCACTAATGACATTTAGTCTGTGGTTCGTAAATTTTATGCTTGAAATAATAATTTTAGCAAGCAAACAACGGAAAGGCAGATCAGCAGAAATGTTGAATTCTTGCTGTATTGTGGCTTGGCAGGATTCGTGGCCAAACCTAATGCGAAAAAAAAAAAGTTGCGAGATCATCATGCTGCTTCCTCGGCAATTTAGGACGCAGAGCTATATTGGCCCACATGGCAACAAAAGGATAGAAAGAACGGCAGGAATACATTCAATAGATTACCACCAGCATCATAAGGATTATTGATTTCCTCATGGTTATTTATTTTGGAATTGAATTTTCTTTTTAACCACAGTGCCAACTGCTGGGCCTGATGGTGCACTGGCTTACTTGCCCACACTGCAAAGTCCCAACTACTTCTCACTCCTTAAGCCAATTGCTTTTCACAATGCTGTATTCCTGGCAAAAAGGGGCAACAGTCTCAAATGCCCATATGGCAATAAAAGGATAAGGAAAGTCGGCAGGAACACATTCACTCTACTGTACCTTTATTGTATGATGTATTTATTTTTGTTTTTGTTTTTTTGGGGGGGGGGTCAGAGACAATATTTAACTTTTTTTTTTGTTTTATTAACTTTATTGTACTACTCTGTATTGACTATAAAATAGCAATGGGGAAAGGAAATAAATGAGTTGTTTAACCACAATGCCATCTGGTGGGTCATCATGAGGTCCTGTTTTTGCGAGATTGTTCTCTGCCAAGAGGACCAATTGTAAATTCAACAATGTTTCTCAAAGTCCAGTCTGTGGACCTCTGATGGTCCCCACAAAAACTCCGAGTGGTCCGCGACAAAATTTGTGATTGAATTTTATCGATAATTTGGAGCCCATTCTTTGTGGAATTGGAAGTCATTTTAAAATTAGATTGATTTAGTCTTTTTTTTCAGTTATTCAACTGACACACCATTCAAGTTCAGGCTTATTATTATTTTTCATTTCCGATCCGGTTTATCCTCACAAGGCTACACAGGGGGTGCGGGAGCCTATCCCAGCTGTCTTCGGGCAGTAGGCGGTGGACACCCTGAACCGGTTGCCAGCCAATCGGAGGGCACAGAGAGACGAACAAGCATTCGTGCTAACACTCACACCTAGGGACAATTTAGAGCGTTCAATCAGACTCCATGCATGTTTTTGGAATGTGGGAGGAAACCGGAGTACCCGGAGAAAACCCACGCAGGCACGGGGAGAACATGCAAACTTAACACAGGAAGGCACAGTCAAACCCACGACCTCTGCACTGTGAGGTCTACGTGTTAACCACTGGACCACCGGCCGCCGCTTATTATTAATATTATTATTCATAATAATAATTTCTAAAATTGGTGGTTTACGTTTTTGAGGTGTGGTGTTGATAAATCCTCCCCCAAAAAATAGAGAAGCACTGACCCAGACTGCCTGTGTTCTGCAGTGAAATATTAATGATGATGATGAAAACTCATGTTCCTAAATAATTTACCACTTCAGGACTAAAACGTGTTCGCCAGTGATTGCGAGTCCCCCTCCAAGTGTGCGTGTGTGTGCGCACGCACATGCGTGCACGTACTCCTGCGCGCTTGCTTGCCCTCAAAAGGTGAAAGCCGGAGTTAAATCTACTTTCTGTGCTTATTTATTTCACCGTTGATCATATGCAAGGGGAGACCTGACATCACCCAGTAGCGTAATTTTTGCAAGGCGACGAGACAGATTTTCAAGCGCATCTCTGCGACTGCTTGCGTGCGACACGTATCACAACACCTTTTCCGGCCTCCCTGCTAATCCCTCTATTCTCTCTGCAGGGATTGCTCCACTTTCCATGCCAGACTGTGTGCTGTGGGGATCCCAGCAGGCATGATGGAGCACAAACAAACAAGCGGGAGGACTGACTGACTAATGGTCTTTCCTCTGATCTGCAGAGCACGCCAGAGCTCCCGCAGTCAGCAGGTGACTTACTGGGGGTCTTTCCTCACTTAGCACAACGTCATTGCTCCAGCGGGGTTTTAATGAGGGATGTGAATATGTTCTGCAGCACAATCGCGGGCACAATTTAAACTTGCTATCGCCACCTACTGGTCATATGAAGCAGCAAGGAAGTTTCACACCATGAGGAGTTTGAGCATTAAACATCCTTAATCGTCCAGCTTCCATGGAATTGGGGTTTGTCGTAGTAATAAAGACTTTCTAAAATTCTACTAGTTAACATCTTGCATTTTACTAGTTGTACGCTAATGTGAAAGTGTTCACAGTTTTGCCTCAATAATCACATGTAGTTGTCAGGCCAAAGTTGTGACAAAACAGAGACTTCCACATGGATCTTAAGATGGACATCAAGTTGCGTGGGTTTTCTCCGGGTACTCCGGTTTCCTCTCACATTCCAAAAACATGCATGGAGGCTGACTGAACACTCTAAATTGTCCCTAGGTGTGAGCACGGATGGTTATTCGTCTCTATGTGCCCTGCGAATGGCTGGCAACCGGTTCAGGGTGTCCCCGCCTACTGCCCGAAGACTGCTGGGGTAGGCTCCAGCACCCCCCACGACCCTTGTGAGGATGAGCGGATCGGAAAATGGATGGATGGATGGATGCCTCCTTGATAAGGAGGCTACTAGTGTGTGACATGCTTACCAGTTGGGTCTAGCAGTGTTACTCATACAGCACAGTGGTTTACGACTAGTAAAGTTTAACTGAGCTGTAGTAGGCCAAAAATAAAACGCTAGTAAGACTACTACTGTCTTGTACAAAGTATGTACGAGTACATCGACTTCGCATTTCTTCGATATATCGATTCGCTTATCGACTCTGATATCCATCTTAAGGTCGAATGGTCAGGTACTAGTCCTCACTAGTTGTACAACTAGCATACTAGGACAACTAAATGTAACTAGTGAGGCATAATTGTCCACTAGTCGACATCTGTGCTGCTACCTCTAGTGGCGGTCTAAAATTCGACCAGCTAACATTTAGCAGTTCACGAGTAGTACAAGAAGAGCGCAGATGTCAACCAGTGCAAAGTATACAGTACATACACAATTTAGATAAATGTCAATACTTAATTCCTGTGCGCACTCAAAAGAAGAAAAGATGTGTCATCACTCAGTCAAAAACAAAAAAACAAAAAAAAAAAACAGTAGTACTGTATAAGTCTGATCTACAGGTCCAGACAGGTTCTTACACTACCTGCCATCAAGGAATCTTCTGGCCCAGCCTTTTTTCTTTGTTTGTTCAATTCACCGAATTCTCAGAGGCTGTTTGGGCTTGACGAGATTAATTTCCCTCGATGTCATTTAAAGTCTTTAAGCTTTTCAAATCCTTTTTCAGTTGATTCCCAGCAATAGAGCCGGCTTGTTTAAATACATTTGAACCAGATTATACCAGCCATAATAACGCTGACCCCCCCGCCCCCCCAAAAAAAAACTCACTTGTGTGGTCCACAGCTGCAGCAAAAGAGCTCTTTTCTGCATCTCAGCATCCACTCCTTCTTTCTGGAGGAAGCGCTGGTAGCTCCTCTGCCAGGACCTCCACTCGGCCTCGCCGCTGTGCTGGTTGTTTGGTGACAGCAGTTCCCAAAGTCGCTTCCGTGACGAGTGGGCTGCCCGGCTCTCCCCTGTCACGCACATTTGAAGTCAAGCCACTGATGGAAGGTCAGAAAATAATCAAGGGTGATTGTTGAAGCTCACCTCCTTTGAGTGAGCAGCGAGCCAGTTTGGAAAGAAGATGGTCAAACTTGCGAAATTCTTTGTAGACTGCAGTGACGTCCTGCGTGCTGTCAAATAACGTGAGGTAGCCGGCTCTGTGCACAACAACAACAACAACCTCAGTATGTGCTATATTGTTTAGTTTTTATTTTCTGAATCCTTGAACTCTTAACAGTGATTCTTGTTGCACAACTTCTAAAACTATTCCTAGCTAATCGCAAAACCGCTCACAGAGTTTGCAAAAACGTGAAGCACAAACACTTCTTTGTACTGAGTTTGTAATTTTGTAGCACACAGCTCATTGCTTTACTTACACTCAATTTCCAAATGATCAACACACTCCTTGCAAAACTATACGCGTTTATGGATATTATTGACATTCTTCTTACCAATTGTCTGGCCGCACAGTCGCAGGAAGAAAAACTGTTTTAGATAATTAGGTCACTTTGCAACCGGCCTGAGCACTCAAAATAAGCCCAATCAATCACAATGGAGCTGGGATCAAAAACATGCAGAATAGTGGCCCTCGAGGACCAGCATTTGACACCAGTGCTCAACAATGTTGTACTTTATAAACACTAACATTCAGCCATGAGTGCATCACAAATTTAAAGGTCGTCCAGTGTCAGATGGGCTGTGTTCCTCTTGTGTGTCTTTATCCAGAGGCGAGGTTACCTGAAGAGGAGGCGGTAACATAAACTGAAGAGTCCCTCTCGTCTCCATTCCGATTGGCCGGACGGATCTGGTAACAGCAGCTCGTGAAGGTGAGAGCTTATGGAATGATTCATCTCAGACAGGCAGACACCTCGAAAATGTCTGCAGGCCAAACATCAAACGGGAGTCTTGGTGAGATTTACACAATTACAACACGTCAATTCCCATTGAATGAATCACTGATTACGTTTCCATAAACATCCTCTCCGCTGCTGGCTCGATGCCTGGCAACTGCAGACCAAAAACTCTTTTTATGAGCTGCTGTCTGGTGCGGCTGAAGTCCAGGCGGATGTTGTCATGAAGCACTCCGTCGAAAGAGTGCGGATCTAACAGCACCGTCACGTAATGGCCCGCAACGCACGCCTGGAAGCACATAGTTTTTCGTTGACTCACTTTTGTTCTCATATCCAATTGCTTCTGATGACAGAAAATAAGAATGAGATCAACTAGAAACCGACAGTTATGCAACAGGTATTGCATTTTTCGTTATTGTCCTTTAATTTGCGTTGGGCGTGTGCATTTGTTTAACAACTGCTGTATTCTGTCTCGACATATCCAGTATGAAAGTCTACAGCTATTCAGGAATCGAAATCGACTTTCGCTGCCCGTTTTATTAAAAGATTAAGATGGATTTTTAAAACAAAATTAATGAGTTTAGAAGTAAAAAAATAAAAGGATAAAATAAAGGTGCTTTATGGACATGTATTTCATGTACAATGTTGTCCTGTGCAGCCCCAGAAGTCTAAATACGGTATTCTGACGAACATTGTGTTTGAGGAATATGGATTAAAAAGAAAAATCCACAGGTTTCCATCCATCTCAGGGGGAGGACATTTTGCCTTGTTCTGCCACTCGCCGTCGACTGAAAATGACATCACAGTTGCTCAGGGGTCAGGTAACGATAAGTCACGGCGCACCTGTTTCTGAGTTTGGTCATGTGATGTTCAGAAGCTGAGCACTGATTGGACAGTACGTGAGCTGTTAGCGATTGTGATGTCACTTTCAGTCACCAGCAAGTGAGTGACAAAATGGCCGCCTGCAGAGATGAATGAGAACGGGTGCATTTTTCTGCTTAATTCAGATTGTTTATACTGTTCACTACTTTAGTAGTGACTAGTACTAGTAGACTAGACTAGTAGACCAGTGACCAATGTATACAACATATAACGAAAAATTTTGATTTGACACCCACTTTAAATACAGTTCTTTTTACATTGGTTAATTTGTAAATAATACTTGTATCAATTCCTTTTTAGAGAAAAAAAAGTCCGTATCTTTTTAACATGTACGACTTGCTATTATTCTTGGCGAAATATTGTGATGATATTGCGAGTCTTTCTATGATTTTCAGCAAAGTAGGTGTGCTCATGTCGTGTGCACGCCCTCACCGATTGCATAAAAGCGGTCTCTTTACATTGCAAGATGCTTCTGTTTTCCTGTTCCCGTTGTCGACCCACTTTTGTAAACTTGCAACTCCGTGAGGCTTTAAAAGAACCTTCCGTACGTATTTACTGTACTTACGGTAAAGACATCCCCGTGTTTCTCTTTCATTCGGGACAAAAACTTAGCGACATCCTTTTGGAATGCAAGTGCGTGTCCCAACCATGGTATAATACCTTTGTCCAAAGGGGGCTCATTTTCCTGTCTGTGTCAAGCAGAGAGAAAGAAAAAAAAAACGTGTCTTGATAAGACAGCTCATTTGTGTATTTTTCCACAAATATCAACTCGAAGTTGTCACACGACATTTCTCAACCAATTTGCTTCTTCCGCGCAAGAATGCAACTCACTTTGAACGCCTGTGTGGACTGTCCTATTCGATTGTTGTTCTACGTATCAAAACGAGATTCCTTTGTTTTAGAACTACATCAAATGCTCTTGCTGCAATCAAACATGATCACAAATATGCCTTCTGCTATCCATCACACACAGATTGCCACTTGCTTTAGTGCTACGCACTGCAGTATACATGTGGTAACATGTATTAAACTGTCCAAGAAGTTCCTCAATCCAAATTTATGCACGTATACTGTAAACGAATGAATGAATGACTTACCTGGTGCGAGTGTAGTAGAGGAGTATTAGTATAGGAACACATATAAGTAGTAAAAACAGCACCCACAGCATGTCTGTGAAGTGATAGATGTCCTTCCCCCGAGATAATGTTCTCCATAGCCAGAGGTTACTGACTTATATGTGTTCTCAAGATGAGTTTCTTTCTTGTCAGGAGGCGTGGAAAGGTGTGGCTGCTGACATGACATGGCTTACACAATGTAACAAAGCATACAGCACTGACATATTCCACTAAATCAACATCGTGAGATCGTTAATACAACAAACAAACAAAAAGGATTATATAAAATTACAATTTTAGGGCCTGCTTGGAGGTCAGCTAGCTTTGTTTACTTTTCTGCTAGGTCAAATTTTCCTGTTCTACTAGCAAATACTTTTGCCTCAATTAAATAATGTGATCCTCATTTCATGACTTCATGTTCTTGTTTGATAAGCCCATTTTGTTTTTTGTTTTTTTTTTGTAGTGCAGTGACATCAGCATCACCATCATGGCAAATGGACTCATGTTTCATGAACACCAGGGTTGATGTTGGGACTTGCATACTTCAAGGCAGGTGTCATTCTGTGACGCAAACCCTTCAACGTAGAGAAACGCACTATATTTAGGATTTCAGTCAAGATGAGCAGGTACACGTAAGGAACGCATGATGACACAATGAATGGAACCTCAGGGAATCTTGCCTCACTTGAAAGTGTATCCAGAGGAGAATGTTTTGTTTCCACTCGTGTTGTATGTGACACTGTGAGTAATGAGAATGACTAAAAATATTTTGATGTACTGTACATTTTGTAGTACAACTGTATAACACATGTTTACAGAATCCTACAGGTTGAATTCATTTGTTAATGAACTGCAGTTACAGTACATTGACACACAGAGTGGTTGATGCATCCACCGCACCAGCAGAGGGCAGTAATGCACTTTTTGAAAGCTGTACTGTACCTTTCGAATTTGTTTTGAACAGTCAACATGGCTTCCACTACACTGCAAGTTTGGATCAAAAAAAGTCCACTTAAATCCAGTCGTGACCTCTAACATCTGACACGTTAATTAGGCATTTAATTTGAGTTTTTTCCCCCCCAGCCTAAGATTGGATCATTAAATTGTATATCCATTTTTTCAAAGTAATTTAAATTAATTCCAATAAATGTTTTATCGGCATAAATAATGTGTTGACTTCTTCACCGATTTAATGTTACATATCCAGTAAAAATGTGTTTTGATTGATAATTGGTTGATTAATTAGAAATTGCATTATAAACGAAACATTCAAAATGACAATGGCTTAATGATTAAGAAGTATTTCACATGTTCTACATAAACATGTTAAATTATTATTCCTGTTGTTGTTATTTGAACTTCATCGACGAATGACCCAGCACTTCTGTCCATTTTAACCCTTTCATGCACCCTGTAACCTGATAACCTGATAAACTGCCCACTGTAGTAACCGCTGTCCCTGAAAGGGTTAAAAATGTAATTTGAGCGCAAACATTTTCCCTCCTCTTGACACGCTTATTGAAAACCCCTAAATGATACGCAGCTCACCCACAACCCTAATGAGGACAAGTGTGAAAGAGAATGAATGGATGATTGCAACCCCATTTACAATCAAAATGATCCTCTCTTATTCTTTAGAGTGCAAAACAAAGTAGCAACAAACCAAAGAACGATCCCGTTAAAAGAACAATAAAAAGTGGGGGCGAAGACATATTTTTAAATGTATGCGTTTTTAAGTGAGGATATTGTTCATGGTTAAATTGTTAGAATGATTTGGTGATATGCAGTCTACCATGTTTGGACACATCAGAGAGACAAGTTGTGAGTTTTTTTTTTATATGAAGTAGACTATAATGGTTGCCATAATTTTATTTGATTTTGTCATAAAAGTGCTGTAATTTAGATGGCAGACAAGGCAAACCAAGCAATTGCGAGGGCCCCGAGCAATGGCATTGTGTTCGATATTGCGACGTGTCAGAAAATCGCCAGCAGAGGGGCCCTTACTCGCTGTTGATGGCTGCTGGGCTCCCAGCAACGGGTGATATTACTCCATATAAATGAGCACAGACTAGCAGTCCCAAACCACCGGTCCGTGGCCTGACACCGGCCCATGGGCCATTTGGTACCAATCTACACAGATAGATATACGGGGAAAAATATGTGACTGCATCAACACTAACCGAATCGATATCTATCAATCTGTCTAGACAGACAGACAGCCAGCCAGATAGATAGATAGATAGATAGATAGATAGATAGATAGATAGATAGATAGATAGACGCTTTAAATATTTATGCATGAAGGTGGTAAGGTTAAGGGGAGGAGTTTTTCAATGATTTACACGTCCATTCAGGCTTTTTTTCCCTGTCTTACAGCAGCAGGAACTGCCCGAGAGAGAGAGAGAGAGAGAGAGAGAGAGAGAGAGAGAGAGAGAGACTGTCTTTCCGTTCAGTTTTCTTCTCCCACTCCCTCTCTCTCTCTCTCTCTCTCTCTCTCTCTCTCTCTCTCTCTCTCTCGCGAAATGCGAGTCAAACGTGACTCGTCTTTGTGGAGTTCTTGTGGAGGAGTCCTTGCAGAGAGGAGTGGTCTGGATCGCGTGTGCACTTCCAGCTCGACGTCTCCTTGAACGCAGCAGCCCCGTGTGAAAGCACAACACAACGCAGCAGAACAGAAGAGACCCTCTGGCCCCCTGCCTTTTTTCGCCCCTCCGAACTTGAGCCCCTATCTCGGGCTATGTCCGCCTTCTGATCGCCGCCGCGGAGACGGAGCGAGTGCAGACGGAGTAAAAGGCGTCTCTTCCCGCCTCGACCATTGGCCAGCCAGCTTTCTTCCAACCATGTCAACGCAGGCGAAAGTGAAGAAGGACAAAGAGATCATAGCCGAATATGAGAGCCAAGTGAAAGGTCGGTACTGCCGCGGCTCATCTTGGATAATTGTGCAACTTTACAACAAGCTTAATGACTGACTACGTGCGTGTGTGCGCGTGCAATACTGAGGGGTGGGTCTGGCTGCATTTGCTCCTAAATGCATCCCACTGGAAATGTCCTATATCCCCCACCCTTGTTTATGATCTTTTTGGCAGTACACTTAGGTTCAAACTTGACCAAACCGGTTCGTGTAGAGCCATGAAGACTGCAGGCTGCATGACTAGTAAGCAAGGCTGCATTGTCAGGCTGCTGCAGATGACTTTCACACTGCAGCTTTTAAGCTGCACACCCAACTGGGGGGAAAAAATGGCTCCAATTCCTCGCATGGAAAATCTTCGCTAAAATCTGTCACGCATCTATCTCAGATATCATGCACGATACTAAAGATAATGTTGAGTAAAACAAAAATGATAATTTGGCAAGAGAAGCTCGAGAAGGTCAACCAGCAAACAGTTGAGAAAGTGCATCAATAATGGATGGCGTCTGCATCAATTATAAACCATGAAAGGATTTTCCTTTCTGAGGCTAAATTTGTGGCTGAGAAGGAGCAGAGCTAACCCTGTGCAGGATGTGCATGCGGCAGTGAACTTGAAGTAGTTTTCGTGCAGCAGATGGTGCATTGTCCTCCCCATGTCCTAGTAAGTCAGAGTTAATTGATTAGTCAGTATTTTTATTTTTTTGCAATTGTTTTTGTGTTTGGTCAATGAAACAGTTAAAATAAACTTTTCATTGTTGACAGCCATTCCAGTGAACAGTCTGTTCCTTCCAGATGAGACAAAGCTTACAGCTTACAGGGTGGACATTGGACAATGACACGGTGGACATTTTCTTGCTAATATTAAGCATTTAATGAGCACACCGCATGTCGACCTTCATTCACTAAGTAACTGTTTAACAAATATATTTCGCAGTGACAGACTGGACATGATAAACTTGCCAACATCCGAGTCCACGCATGATACGATGAAAATGACAAAATATGTCAATCCTTCAGAGGGTTTGCCAAAGGGGCAGTTACCCCATCATGAGAGGGTGGAAAGCAATGTCAGATAGATGCAAAATATTCCGTTTGATTATGAAACTATGCATGATTAAAATGACTCATTTTACCAAATAAGTTATGTATAACAAACCCAAGTAAAGTAATGTTGTATTTGACATTATTTAACCACGTATTGCACACACTGTAGTTTTTAGAGCAGTGTGTGGGACATGCCAAACATAACACTGCGGCTGTGCTTGATGAACTTTTTAACATTTCATGCAACAACAACAACTTGTTGCACAACAGCACATTGAAATAGTGATTGGCACGTCTGCCTCACATTTCTGAGGTTTGTGGTTCGAATTTCTACTCCGGCTCAGTTTGCGTGTTCCCCGAGACTTGCATGGGTCTTCTCTGGGTACTCTGGCTTCCTCCCACATTCCCAAAATATGCATGTTAGGTTAAGCGAAGACTAAGAATGGTCCCTAGGTGTGATTGCGAGCGTGAAAGGTCGTTTGGCTGTACATGTCCTATAATTGGCCGGCGATCAGTTTCCTAAAGTCAGCTCTGCTAGCTAGACACCAGTTCACCTTAATGAGGCATGCGCTATTCAAAAATGGTTCGATGGACTTGTCGCACAAGCGTAAAAAGAAGTTAACTAGTGCAAAAAAAAAAAGGTCAACTGCTTTGAATGCTAGTTTGCCAGCTTCACATCGCTGTACAGTATCTTCTTCTCTTCACAACCCTTGTTGAGGCCACTCCTTCTTACCATAAAAAGGGTGATACTCACCGACGTGCCATGTAAATTGATGACATCACTGATGTTTCGCAAAATGACAGTCTCTATGGTAAATTGATCATGTTTACAGCTTAACAACACAGGGAAAATAGCTTAGGCCCTACTCAGCCACCAGTAAAAATCTACTTTTTATTGGCACTGGATGTAGATATTTTATATTATGACAACTACTGTCTGATAATAAAAGTTGATCACAGCTAGTTATCAAACAAAAGCCCCATGCATGTTCCTATTGGTCCATTATTTATTTATTCTATGCGACCCATGTCATGAGAAGCTTCTAAACTGAAATGTTAAACTCATTTTGGAACTGGGATTCGATCGGTGTGAAGCGGCGAGTGGGCTCATTTGACACTGACACTTGGCTGGAGTAATACTGATTTACTGGCAGCACAGTAGCACAATTAACACATGCACGCGCACGCGCGCGCACACACACACACACACACACACACACACACACACACACACACACACACACAGAAATATTACTGACTAGTGAAGTCTTGTACACGCTTGGACTTGAATGTATGAATATCGCCAAATATTTCATTGATGAGCTAATATCCATTCATGAAATGGAAAAAAGATTCGTCATCTACTCTTATGAAATTGATTGACAGTTTCTGTAAACTCAACTGAAAATAAGTTTTTCCACTTCTAATCGTGTATCACAATAGATACAGTAAGAACTCATACAGGAATGCTTATTCTTTCCTCCGATTATTCTAGCTAGTTTTATTAGTGTGATCTTTACATTAAAATGTAGTCGAGTAAATGATCACATAGCTTTCAGCTATGAGGTATATCTATCTATCTATCTATCTCGGTTGGTCGGTTAGTGACCATTTTAGTGTGTTCTAAAGCATGAGCAACTATGCTGTTTTTGCCCCTGCTTGCAACATGCAAACACCACACAGGAAGGCCGGAATCGAACCCTGCACCTCTCCACTGTAAGGTGGACGTGCGAACCAGTAGACCACCGTGCCGCCCATTATTATTATTATTATTATGCTGGGGTTAGCGAGTTTATTGTAATAGTTTCGATTTTGACATTACTCCATAGTCTTGCTCTGAATACCTTTCACACATACAATCATTTTTTTCATATTCTCTAAACGTGTGAACATTTTAGTGTGTTTTGAAATGTTAAAAAAGAAAGAAAGAAAGAAAGAAAGTGACACGTGAACATTAGCATTAGCATCTATGTTTGGCACTAGCCAGGGTACCATATACAGGAAAAAGTTTTCTTTCTCGGGTGAAATTTCTACATAGCTGTACTTTGGATGCCATTTAAGCATACGGTTGACATAATTTCAGTTTGTGTGTAAATGTCTTCCGAAACAGTTCTGAACAGTGACTGTTCATTAACATCAATGCTAATACAGTATTTGTCACTTTACCATGACACAAGTTTTTCTTTAAATGCCATTAAAAACTGTTTAGAAATGATGACAAAATAGTACTGTATGCTTTGTAACAGAATTGTGTTTTACTACATATTCACACATTTGTATTTTTTTTTTTCATGCTGGGTATGTGCTTTCATATTTTGCCGTTTTGAGTGTCAATCTTTGCATTCCATGCAGACCACGTGGCCACAGCCGACGGCCCTCGCTGTTTATTCATCATAGTAAAAGAATGGTCAGGGTGACACTGCCTAGAAATGTCAGGGCTTGCATGATGACAGCGAAACTGCGTCTTTGTTGCCAGCGTGTGAAGCTGCAGACGCTGCCTTGTGGTGTCATATCATTTAATGTGAAACCTGCGTGGAATGTCAGCACAGCAGAATGTGGATTTTCCTGTCCTGCGGTTGCACAGACAGCATTTTGAAGCATTTGGATTGAGGGAAACAACACGTGAACTCACGTTTCAGAAAAAAAAAAAAAAAGTCACAGCGCGACCATGAGTGCATTCAGACGCTCACGGCCTTGATTCGAACCAAATGATGTCAACGTGTCAGTCTGGGTTAGGACACATGTGACTAGCCACGCATGGCTAACTGCAGACGCAGCCCCGGAGAGCCGACACTAGCTGTGGCGGACTAACCGGAGCGGGCTGCTTCCACGACAATGACTCCTCAATATGGGATTGTTGCACAAACAGCCTTGCCTTCAAGGCAACACGGCCCACTCACTTCCGTGTACAGCAAAAGTCCACAAATCTAGCCGCCACATGCAAGTGCATCAGAGCATGTTCCGAATACATGAATTGTGTTTTTAAGCATGGGAGCGGTACTGAATAAATGTCACACTGCTTGTGTTTAAAAACAGGATCTGGTATGCAAAGGAAGAGAATATAGCGAAGTGGAGTCTCAACCGCAATTTTCTTTTAATGATATGCTTAAAAGACAAAACAATCAGGGAAATTCAATTGCAAAACTCAAGAAAGAATCGAAAAGTTCTGCTTAATATGTTATGCCAACACAGGAACGTCATTATTGGCAAAGAAAAAACAAATACAGTAATATTCTTGGAACCACATTGAGAACTTCGGTACCACATCGGAAACAATTGAACTGCTCAGGAAAATATGTGCGGCAACTTTAATTACATATTAAATTTACCAAGCAGATTCTAGCTAACAAGTAGAATGTAACGATTTAACTTACCAACAAACTGTTTTCCATTCCCTCTCTGCTAAGTGTCTGTCAGACATCTTTAAAGTCTGACTTGTTTTATTTTAGTGTTTTTGTTGTTGTTGTGGCAGCACTCGTGGTCATCTCGTGCAGTGATTCCCAAAGTGTGGCACGAGTAGCCCTCGTGGTAGTCGGGCTCACTCATGGGAGTGAGGAAAGAATCAATGCATCCGTACACTTCATTTTTATTTAACCTTTTACTGCAAGACTTTAGCATTGAATGTTAAAGAACTGTTTCTAAACTTTTATTTCAGTAAAACTTTAAAAAGTTGTATGTGCAATACATTGTGCCGTTTTATTGTTCAAAACATGCATCATGTTCCAGTGGTTGCAATCAAATATATACTTTTGAAACACTTTCTCATGCTATTGAATGGAGAAGTGTCTTCAAACTTTTGACTGGGACAGCACCTCTTTGGAATAAAACCTCTGTCTGTGCATGAATGAACATTTAGTCCTACTATGCTACTGTATTTTAATTTTAGTCATGATGGTGGTACAGTACTTGGAAAGCAAAGTATTTCTTGGGTGCCACTTGGTTTAAAAAGTCTGGGAACCATTGTCTTTAGTGGATTATATAATATGATACCGTATTAGTACAGGTATTGGTATTGGCGCATCCTTACTTGTAACATTGCCAGTGCAGTTAAAAAAGGGATTTTGATGGCAGTCTGGGCCTGGAACAAATGAACTCACTTTACATTATTTCCAATGGAAAATTTGACTTTGGGAGGTTCCACTGAAATGTATTCTGCTTCTACAAGCTCAGTGTTACGTATGTACAAAAGACTTCATCAAAGTGCCCGAACACACCAGGATGTTGATTGTTAGGCTTGGCCGACTAATTATATTATAAATAGGTCCTTTTAGACAAATTCCTTATCCCGGTCGGTGAACACCTTCCTATTCGCTTACATTTGAGAGCTTTATGTGTGTGATGTCGAGGGGAACTTTTTGGTGTTTTACATGGAACTGTGAAGTGCTTGCCCGTGTCCTCGTGTGATTATGTGCGCACTCTGCGAAAGCTTGAATCATTCATGGCATGTAGTGCAATACTGCACAGTCCCTTGGAACAGTTTAGCTTCCTAAAAATAACCTGCTTGCAGGAAAGCGAATGCAAATAGTCTATTTGATGTCTCGCTGATGACATTGTACCATCGCTGCAATCCAAATGGTCTTATTTGCTCACCATAAACACTCACTGTTTGTAAAAATAAATAAATAAATAAATACGTACATAAATCAATCAATCAATCTCAAGTTTTGGTCAATTTCAGCACGATGACATTTTGTTGTATTTTGGAGCTGATTGCTACCTCACTGGTCCTCATCCTTGGCTGTGTGCTGGGCCTTTCCAAGCGGAGGAAGTCGCCTTTGTCATTGCCCAAACGCCAGTTCGAGCGACTGGCCCAAGTGTCAAACAGACGACTAGCTCGCTCCGGCTCCGATGCCTTCAGAGACACGTAACCGGGCAACTGCAATACTAAAGGGGACCATGAGAATAACATCCTCCCGACAAGGGACCGCATATTTATTTTGTCTTGTTTCGTATTCCTCTAGTTTCATTCACATGTTCACAGGATGGGCGCACATTTACAAACACCTTTTGTCCTTCATTTCCACCATTTTGAAGAAGAATCGAAGCTCTTTTCTTCAACGATGTTCTACAAAGTTCCCTTTTGTGCGAAGAAATCATATGCATGCTTGAAAACGTCTGTTCGCCTTCCTTAATGCTCTTCAAATGTTTTAATGGTGCTTTGTCTATTGTGTGTGTAAGTTAAGTGCGCGCGTCAGTAAATGGCTAATCAACATATCTTACCCAGAAAGGGTCATAATACAGTAACCGATTTGTAGTTTAATTGATTGTTGAGAATTCAGATGTTTGTGTGAGACAAACATTTTGTACATATGACACTGGTATGGAAATGGCAGTTGAGAACGTTCACGCACACCTACGGAAAGTAAATGGAGTGAGTTTAGCTAGGCTAGACAAATTAACACACTGGCTAGCAATGTTAGCATTCGTTCATCTGTGTTTGTTTGCATTTTGCGGAATGACTGCCAGTAGTTTGTGTGAATGCTGGATTGCTCGTGTTTCTCAACAAGAACGGGCAAGCTGTAATTAATTGATTTTTTATTTAATGTAAAGACATTTAGTTTGGCTTCAAGTTTGATTGTCTTTCTGTTTGCTGGTCTGCTTTCTCTGCTAAAACAATAGTTTGTTTTTGAAGCGCAATCTTAAAAGTAACTTTTTTTTTATGTTGAAGAACACACCTGTTTTCTGCAATGAATTTAGGTGTAAAAATGTTTTTCACAAGTTTGCGACAAGCAGCAGCTATCCATCCCCTCGTTCAATATAGCCAATAGCTTATTACTTTTTCAGGAGCTGCAATGTCCTATTTGCCCCCATAATCTAGAAACTGTATCTATTTTATCTCCATTCCCTCTGTGTTTGCCTATGATGGGAAGCAGCAAGTTTCCCAACCTCTTCATGTGAAAACAGCAGCGATCTTGCAATTAAAAGAATTCCTCATATTTGCTGTTTGGAGACAAATCTTTCTGAAGGCTCTCACAGCACAATGCATGCTGACCTAGTTTGTTTTCTGTGCTGTCTGCAGCGATAAACAGACATGCATGTCACAATGCATGCGCGGATGCGCGCTCGCACCACACACACACACACACGCACACAC